GTGAGATGACGGGAAGCAAATGTACTCATCAGCCAGTTCCGTTGTCAGACAACAACTCACCAACCCCCGGGCCAAGCGACGGTTTCAGAAGTAGACGGCCCACACGCCCGGCCCACACTTCCGGCCATCCAGTGATTGCCACGGGACCATCATGGAACCATTTCCGCTACACCGGAGTCACAAAGTTCTCTCTGCTCACAGCCGTGTTTGTTTTGAGAAATTTGGCATTAAACTTTTTGAGTTTCATAACACGTAAAGCTTTTCCGAATAGCTTGATAATGGCTCTGAATTATCTTTGATAGAGTAGATAGAACATTTTGTTCCTGATCTCAAAACGACCACAAATGTCAGATAGAACTTTGTAGTTCTGAGGTAGCGATTTGTCATTAAGGAGATCTGTCAAAATGCCGCCCATGTTTTGATCTTTCCTCTCTACTGTCTATAAAGAACAGCCTTATCTCAACTGCTAGGACAATGGACTTTAATAATGTGTTTGTTTTTAAAATGTAGGTGTGTTTTTACAAAATGTAGGTGTTTTTTTACGCCCCCCCCCCCACCGAAAAAAATAAATAATAAACAACAACACACATTTCAAGAACTTAGAGGCTGGCTTCAGTTTTGGTCTTTCCCCTCTCTACTGTCTGTAAAGAATTTATCTCAACTGATAGGACGATGGCCTTTAAAAACGTGTTGTTGTTGTTTAATGTAGGTATTTTTACGTACCCAAAAAACACGTATTTGGGTAACTTAGGAGGCTGGCTTACGACCCCACCTGTCAGGGCCAACCCAGGCTGAGAGGGATACAACATTCCAGCAGAAAGACCGAAGTGCTCGATAACAATTTCTCCCCACTGGGGAATCGAACCCGCGTGTCCAGCGCACGACAGCGAAGAGCATACCTGCTACACCCGGACCTGGTCCTTTTGTTTGAGTTTGAGTAAAAAGAAGCACATCGACTAAATAATGGTCATTTAGTGCTGCGAAATAGTAAGACAGACAGACAGAAACAACAGAGGAGAAAGTGAAGATGTTGGACCTACCTGTGACACCTTCCAACCACCCACACAGACAGACAGAAACAACAGAGGAGAAAGTGAAGATGTTGGACCTACCTGTGACACCTTCCAACCACCCACACAGACAGACAGAAACAACAAAGGAGAAAGTGAAGATGTTGGACCTACCTGTGACACCTTCCAACCAC